GTGATCAAACTCAGCTCAGTCTGGCCCAAAAAACATATGGGAAGGGCAGAGAAACTCAGCGAAATAAAGTTTCCAAAGCCCTCAAGACTCAGACAAATACGTCAAAATAAAACAACAGTTGCGACTGGAGCAACGGGAATGAAAAGTAGCCTAATGCAGGTGGATTCAGCTAGAGGTATGGCCCAGCAGAGGCCGACTGACGAGGAGAACAGAGTGGTAAGAAGATATAGAGATGTTTGCACTGGCAGAGCTAATACACTAGCAGTCATTCAAAATAGCCCTTCCCAGTCAAACGTCAGCCGAATGGCAGCCCACTTTACTGCAACTCCAAGCAAAATCCCCTCCAACTTCCAGCCACTGGATTGACCACCTCGTTCTCCTGGGCGTGCATATTTTTTTACTCTGACTCCCCCCTTTCGCTGAATTACAGGGTCGGACCAGGAGATTGACCAATACAATTCCACCCCCTTACTATTATCAACTGGTGTTCCACAGGGATCAATTGTAGGTCCAATTCTTTTCAGTCTATATTTTAATGATTTACCATCTGTGTGTAAGAACTGTGACACTTTGATGTATGCAGATGACACTGCTATCTTGGCTTATGGAAAAACCACCGAGGAAGTTGCCGCAAAACTAACTGAGGCCATGTTACTGATCTCAACCTGGCTTGAGCAATCCTGTCTGCAAATGAACATATCTAAAACTGTTACCATGTTTTTTTCAAAAAACAACCTCATAAATATAGAACCCGGAAATTTTAATATCTGGAGAAAGATTACAGGTCATCACTGAATATAAATATTTAGGTTTACATATAGAATAGCATCTCAATTTCAAAACTCATATCCAAAAGTTCGTAATAGGAATTAAGTTTAGTTTAGCAAACTTCAGATTCATTAGAGATTTTCTTTCAACTGAAGCTGCTAAATTATATTTTTTTTCCATGATTTTATCCCATATAACATATTGTCTAATAAGTTGGTCCAATACTCACTCTACTACATTAAAACCATTAGAAACATTATATAAACAAGCATTAAAAATACTGGATAAAAAACCATACCATTACCATCACTGTAGTATTCTGAGGAAATATCAGTTACTTACCTGGAACAATCTTATCAAGTTCAAAAACATCTGTTTAATTTATAAAATCAGACATAGTTTAGCACCACCTCCACTATGTGACTTTGTACAGTTCAGATCCAGTGAGATCAGGGTAACCAGAGGGGCAGTGAGGAAAGACTGCATCATCCCCCGGAGAAAAACAGCCTTTGGTCAGGCTGTCTTCTCCGAAAGAGCATCTTAGCAATGGAACACAGTGCCAGAAACCATCAGGGACTCTTTGTCATTCTCTTCATTCAAAAAGAATGCAAAAAAATGGCTTGTAGAGAGCCAAATTTGTGGGCACTAATGTTTTCTGTGTGTATTTAAATAATTTTACTATTAATTTTTAATCATTTTACATGAATTTCATTTCTTAACCATAATGTTTTTATGTAATTGGTATTGTAATTTAATCTTGTGATTTTATAATTGTGTTTATTTTTAAGGTTGCCTTTTTAATATCTGGCTGAGGGACTTCCGATGAAAATGAGCACTCCTTAGCTAACTCGGGTATATTTACATTGTTTTAATGTTGATTAATGTACACTGTCCCCTTTCAAATAAACAATAAATGAAATGAAATGAGATGGCGCTTCTCTTTAGATCTTAATTTCCACAAATCATGACAGAAAGAATATTTTAGTACAAAGATTGATGTTTAAAAATGAATTGTAGAAAACCAGCCAAGGGCCCATCAAGGAAATTGGGTAAGTTTTGAATGGCTACGGCTGTAGAAGAAGTAAAGAGAGACCTGAGCAAGACAGCCGCAACTTTGAGGTTGATATAACTAATTAAACACATTAAAACTCTCCAAAATCTCCCACATAAAACATCTACACACTGACATGATTAATAGCAATGATTTTACAAGGATTTGAAACTCATTGAGCGTCACTGGGGCTTTAATGCAAGTTCAGACTGTGATTGCTCCCAGGCAGTGGGTCAACAACAGACTGCAGAACATCCATAAATCAGTGATTAAAACCTCCTTGCTTTACAGTTAAAAGACTTGTTAAATGTAATGAAGGAGAACCGATAATAGTTTCATAGATGAAAACATACCAGTAAGTGAGGCATCAAGCAGAGGGTGAGGGCTGGTTTACTTTGGAGTCGAGATCAAAATGGTGGGTAAGTAGTAAATAGCTGACAATTCATCTTACTGCCCCATGGTACACATGATCAAGTCACTAAAGCAGAAGCATTTATTCACATCTCTATAGTCAATAGCAGGGAGGAAGGTTTTGGCCACTAATTTTCTTTTTAGACTATAAGAAAAACAGCATGTTATTTCTTTAATAAAATCCTAACAGAAGTTTCAAGATAGAGATTCTGGTCCTCAAAAGATATTGATCATCGATTAAAAATCCGAAATATTTAAAACTGGACACCAACTCAATTTGCTGTCTTTTTCTTATTAAATATTTTTTTCTGTCAGTTATGCTGTCCTGTTTGCTGAAGTAGTAAAATAAATAAATAAATAAATAAATAAATACATTTGGTTATGTCTCCATTGAGTATAAGTAGAAGATGACAAAGCTGTTCCTGCACTTAAAAAGGCCATATTGGTGCTAAGAAGTATATGACAATGTCATCAGCATGAAAATGAAAAAATAAATCTCCAAAAAAACATCCAACTTACAGTATTAGCTTACCTGCCATAAATGTTTTTTATTTTATTTTAATGTTGTTAGCAGTAAAATGTTGCTTTGACATTCAAAAATGATGATTTATCATTGCTACAGGTGGATAATAAGGAGGTACATTTTATTGTGTAACCTTTTAAAAAGATTTAACATTTCAGGAGTAGTTTTAATATTTAAGCATAAATATTATTATTGTATTTTTTTTAACAATGCTTTTCATGATTAACTTGAATGAATAAAATGCACTGAACTTATGTTAAATGAGAAATGTTGCATGAACACAAGATTTGCTATATTAATGCTATAGATAGATAGATAGATAGATAGATAGATAGATAGATAGATAGATAGATAGATAGATAGATAGATAGATAGATAGATAGATAGATAGATAGATAGATAGATAGATAGATACTGGTTTCATGTATGATCTGGAAAAAGAAAAAAACAGAGAAGGGTTTTCTTCTTCATCGATAAGATGTTTTTGGGGCGTTCAGGTTGAGCAGTATAGAGGCTGTAGTCCTTGGCGCGGCTGACCTGGGTTCAAATCCGACCTGTGGTCCTTTGCCGTGTGTCTCTCCCCCTCTCTCATAACCCTTTCCTGTCAGCCTACTTTAGAGAAACAAAAAATAATAATAATACATTTTTGAATGATCTATTTTGATCCTTACAATACGGACATTTGCCTGCAATGTTCTGTTTTTCATAATATGTATTTTTCAAATAGCAAACAATACTTATTAAACATTTAAGTATCATTTTTACCAATTCATGTTTTTATGCATGAATAATTTATTCCACTATATATTTTATACTATATACTATAAAATACTATTTGAAATATACTATTCACTATGATCATCCACTCAACATTTGCATACTCCCTCCAGAATGCTGGGTGTTTCACTAGTGATTAATTATATTAAATATAGCTAATCATGGGGCGCTGTTAAGACCAAAAATGGTCTAGACCTGCACATACTATTATATGTTTCTTAACTGTTTAACCTAGCTTTTGATCAGTTCTATAGTGACCTGAGCCCTTATTGCTTTTGTGATGAATGAATTTCCTCAGGTAACATCTAGACAAATAGGTGGGAAAATCGCTCGGTGTGACCACTACATACTGGTAGTGATTTGATTCACTACCAGTAGTGTATGAAAACTCCGTTAGATGTTTAAAGCTTGGAACAAAACCCCAACACCTTTGTTTATAGATTTTCGAGATCTGCCTGTTTTCAGTGTAGTCCTGTTTCTCTGGCTGTGACTGAGTGGATGTGCTCTCTTCATCCTCTGACCTGGGAGCTGGATCAGCTCGTCTGCCTGGCTGTGTGTTTCCTGGATGGGAAACTGGTTGACAGTTGCCCTCTGTATCTATGCTTCTTTTTCTGTCTGCTTCTGTCTCCTTGAACCCCAGTCAGCCTCAGCAGATGGCCGCTCACATTGAGCCTGGTTCTGCTGGAGGTTTCATCCTGTTAAACGGGAGTTTTTCCTCTCCACTGTCGCTACAGTCATGCTTAGTGTGAGGGATTGCCCTCTAGTCAATGAGTCCATGCAATCAGCTGGTTTTCCTTAGGTACAAAACTTTGAATCAGTCTGACTGGATGATCTGGTTGAACTGTAAAGTGCCTTGAGATGACATAATGTGAATTGTCGCTATAGAAATAAACTGAATTGAAAACTGAATGAACTAACTCTGCTTTTAAACGTTTCTCTGCTTTATTCTCCTGCCTTATTCTCTTTTTTGAAATATACAATTTCATTTGAAGGCAGTTATTGTCACTAGAATCTTATAGAATTTTGTAGCAACAATAGATAAAGGAGGTGAAAATATTGTTGTTTTTTTCGTTTGTTTTGTTTTAATCAGTGATTTTTTTTTTAAAACCTTGCAGCAATTTCCATTGAGCTTCTGCACAAAACCCCATTTTAATAAATCAAAGCTTGAGATCGTGACTTTAAAAAAATAGCAAAATAAAGAGGGAGCGGTTGGGTTTGCAAAGGACTGTTCTGGGTTATCTGACTAAATGCGATCATTAGAGCAAATCACTTCTAATAATCAGGGATCATTATTGAGGCAAAGGCTGATGCTTAATGTTTATTAATGTTTATTATTAATGAATGGATCCTTTAGTGGATGTTTGGCTGAGATGATGCGTTAACTAAAGGTAAATGGATTGAAAAATGAGCGACAGAGAGTGAGCAGGAGGGGAGGGGAGGTACAGGAGGAGCAGGGAGGAGGGAGGGAGGGGAGGCATACAGAGCCAGCAGAGGGAGGCTGGACCGGGAACAATAGAGAGGAACGAAGCCAGTCCTGAAACAGCAAACAAACCGAAAGAAAAGGAGCCCAGAGAGGCTGATGGAGGCAGAGGAGGACATGTGAAGAGCGAACCGGGCCGGGCTTCGCTTTTCTTTCTCTCTCCCTGGATTATATTCAACCGGATTCAGGCATGAACCCCGCAGAGGCGGCCGAGGAGGCGCCCAGCGACCCCGACACTGATGCCTTCTACAAAACAGGTAAGATCAGCGCGAAACAGAAACAAAGCATCTGCTTTACATGTCAGGAGGCTCCTGGAGGAGCGGCAGGAGCCGGAGAGCGGCGGGCGGGAGGAGCAGGGGATGCAGACAGGAGCAGGGAGCCGCTCCGGGCACCGGTAGAGGGGGGGTGGGGGGGTCACCCCAACCCCACAATAAAAACAGATCAGCTTTAACATGCAAACAGCAGCCCTGCACAGGGAGGGTCTGTTTCTGATGCTGCTGAGGGTCTCTGCAGGAGGAGCTGCAATAATGGAGCAGTGACATCAGAGAAGCAGCTGAAAATGTCAGGAGAAGCTGTCCAGCATGGGGGGTGTCTCTGGAAAACACAGATAAATGAAGAGTATTTAACCGATCAGCATTCAGACTGTTGCTGGGAGGATGAGGAGGAGGTGAGGATGGAGACTGGGAGAAATGGTTCAGGATTCAGATTTGCAGAAATGAAGACAACCAGTTTGGGGGTGGGGGGGGTCTGCAGCCGCTGACTCAGATAAGTCAATTAGCAGAGAATCCCTTTCATTGATTGAGTCAGTTAAAGAGCACAACCTTTGTGATCCAACCTCAGCATCTCTTCCCTCCATCTCTCACTTTCTCCACTTTTTTTTTTTTAATCTAGCAATAACCGATTATAGATGAGAGAAAAAGTTGTTCCTTATTTGAATGCAGTTATCAGCCCTGTTGGAAGCTGGTGTGTGAGAAGAGATGATGATCAGGTGACCCCCCCCCTTTCTCTGGGTTATAAGGAAACTCTACATGTTGGGGTTTACAATCCTGCAGCTGTAATAAAGGGCGACACACCCTGAATCTGACTGGAGCAGAGCTTCATGTTCCTTTTTTCCACCATGGTTGCTGTCAGCTGGACCAGTTTTTTCAGGTGTTGGTTGACTTGCATGGCAGAAGATGGAAAGGTGAGCTCAGAAAAATGAGATCTGCTAAAAAGTAAAATCAATGAGCCAGACGTCTCTGTAGGGATGCATTCATGGTTTTCTGTAAATGTATTTAGTTTTCATAATGTGTAGGATTCTTTAGGATATAAAAAGAGAAAGATGGGAGTTTATGTGAGTGTTTTCTTTTTTTTCTCCAATGTGTGAGGAGTAGAAGTGCTGAGGCTGTGTGGACGGCGAGCGTTAGATGTGACAGTTCAGCTGTCTGTCAATCAAACGGATTTAGACAGACCCCAGAGGATGGCCAGCGGGGGACCAGCTACTGTCTGCCTCCGGATTAATAATGCGCCTTCAATCGGCTGAAGCCCAGCGAGACACAGAGCAGATTTCACTGCAGTAGCATCCACACATGGAGCTCATTTAGACATGAGGCCATGATAAGTCTATTTATAACCGGCTTTCAGATTTAAACCAAGCAAAACTGTTTGTTCTAACAGTAGTCAACTTAGGCTGGTTACCTCTAAAAAGCAGTCCAAAAAAAAACCAACATAAAAAACATAAAGTTCAAGTGAAATGCTTCTTTCTAAACTCCAATAGAGTACTAAAAATCCTAGTTTATTTGAGATCCAAAATTTGAGCACAGTGTTAGATATAATTCAATTCAATTCAATTCAGTTTATTTATATAGCGCCAAATTCACAACACATGTCATCTCAAGGCACTTTACAGTTCAACCAGATCATACAGTCAAATTGATACAAAGTTTTCTATCTAAGGAAAACCAGTTGATTGCATCGACTCATTGACTCAAATACAATCCCCCACACTAAGCATGCTTGTAGCGACAGTGGAGAGGAAAAACTCCCTTTTAACAGGAAGAAACCTCCAGCAGAACCAGGCTCAGTGTGAGCGGCCATCTGCCGAGGCCGACTGGGGTTCAAGGAGACAGAAGCAGAGATACAAAAAGCAGCTGTAAAAGGCGGCCCCGTCCAGGAAACACACAGCCAGGCAGACGAGCTCCAAGGCAGCTCCCATGCCAGAGGACGAAGAGAGCACATCCACCCAGTCACGGTCAGAGAAACAGGACCACACTGGAAAACAGGCCGATCTCCAACATCTATAAACAAGGGTGTTAATGGAAGCAGCACAGCTGATGTTTCTTTCCAGGATGACGTCACAGCCAAACAGGAAAAGACGAGGCAAAGCTACTCTGATGAAAAGCAGAGAGAGCAGAAGGTTAGAGATTGAACTAACAGATTCTGCAGAATAGGAGAACAGAGAGAAAATGAAGCAGAATGATGAAATGGGGGTGCCTATGTCCTCCAAAAGTCTAAGCCTATAGCAGCATAACTGTAGAGATAGCTCAGGATAACCTGAGCCACCCTAACTATAAGCTTTAACAAAAAGGAAAGTTTTAAGCCTAGCCTTAAAAGTAGACAGGGTGTCTGCCTCACGGACTAAAACTGGTAGTTGGTTCCACAGGAGAGGAGCCTGATAACTAAAAGATCTGCCTCCCATTCTACTTTTAGAAATTCTAGGAACCATTAGTAAACCTGCAGATTGAGAGCGAAGTGCTCTGTTAGGAACATAAGGAACAATCAGATCTCTGATATAAGATGGAGCTTGGCCATTTAAGGCTTTATATGTGAGAAGGAGGATTTTAAATTCTATTCTTGATTTAACAGGAAGCCAATGAAGAGAAGCCAGGATAGGAGAGATATGATCTCTCTTTTTAATTTTCATTAGAACTCTGGCTGCAGCATTTTGGATCAGCTGAAGGCTTTTAACTACAGTTTGTGGACTTCCTGATAGTAAAGAATTACAATAGTCCAGCCTTGAAGTAACAAATGCATGGACTAGTTTCTCAGCATCACCCCTGGACAGGATATTTCTAATTTTTGTAATGTTCCTCAGATGAAAGAAGGAAATTCTAGAAACCTCTTTGATGTGGGATTTAAATGACAGGTCCTGATCAAAAATAACACCAAGATTTTTTACTTTATTATCTGAAATCAGTTTAATCCCATCCAAATGAAGTGACTGGCTAATCAGTTTCTTTTTCAGAGACTCTGGTCCAAAGACTATAACTTCTGTTTTGTCTGCATTCAGGAGCAGAAAGTTAAGAGTCATCCAGGTTTTTATGTCTTCAAGACATGCCTGTAATCTATGTAATGGGTTAGCTTCATCTGGATTTATAGACAGATATAGCTGGGTATCATCAGCATAACAGTGGAAATTAATCCCATGCTGTCTAATAATTCTACCAATTGGGAGCATGTATAAAGTAAAGAGAATTGGTCCTAGCACTGATCCCTGTGGTACTCCACAGGTAACCTTTGAGCGTGTTGAAGATCTATCATTAACATGAACAAACTGAATTCGATCAGATAGATAAGATTTAAACCAGTCTAGTGCTGTTCCTTTAATTCCAACAAAATATTCAAGTCTTTCTAAAAGAATATTATGGTCAACTGTATCAAATGCAGCACTAAGATCCAACAGGACGAGCACAGATACAAGTCCATTATCTGAGGCCATGAGAATATCATTAGTGACTTTCACCAGAGCTGTTTCAGTGCTATGATGAGCTCTAAAGCCAGACTGAAACTCTTCAAAAAGTTCATTATGGTGGAAGTGATCGCAAACTTGTTTGGCAACTACTTTCTCAAGAATTTTGGATAAGAAAGGAAGATTGGATATAGGTCTATAATTGACCAAGTCATCTGGGTCAAGAGACGGTTTCTTAAGCAGAGGTTTAATTACTGCAACCTTAAAAGCTTTAGGTACATATCCCTGTAACAGAGATAGATTAATCACATCTAAAATGGAGGAGGAGATCAAAGGGAATACCTCCTTAAATAACCTGGTTGGAACTGGATCTAACATACAAGTTGAAGGCTTAGATGAAGACAATAATTTTGCTAATTCAGAGAGTTCAACTGGATCAAAGCAGTCTAAACCCGGTTCAGATTCCATGACTACCTCAGGTACAATCGCGGATAGAGGAGTGCTTATGATCTTATTTTTAATAAGATCAATCTTATTTATAAAGAATCCCATAAAATCATTGCTGCTAAGAGCAGGTGGAATGGACGGTTCAACAGAGCTATGGCTCTGGGTGAGTTTGGCAACTGTATTAAAAAGAAATCTAGGATTATTCTTATTCTCCTCTATTAATGAGGAGAAGTATGCTGCTCTTGCTTTACAAAGGGTCCTCTTATACAGCAGTAAACCATTTTTCCAGACTAGGAAGGACTCTCGCAGGCCTGTGGAGCGATATTTTCTCTCCAGTTTCCTAGCATTTTGCTTCAAAGTACGCAGCTCTGCATTAAACCAAGGAGCAAGCTTTCTATTTTTAACGGTTTTCATTTTCAAAGGAGCTGCGTTGTCTAAGGCAATACGCAGAGAACTAGCAACCCCATCAACAAAATCATCAACCTGTGAAGGGGAATAAGCTAAGCTTTTGCACTCTGCAGCACTGCTCAGTGACACAGAGGAGAGAGAAAGTGAAGCAGATTCTTTAAAATTTATAACTGCACTATCTGATAAAGATCTACTAAAATTTAACCTTCTTTTGGGGGAGAACTCTTTTAAAGTAATCCTGAAGGTTATTGGAAAGTGGTCAGAGAGGACAGGGTTGTGAGGAAATACTGTTATTTCTTCACATTCTATGCCGTATGTCAGCACAAGATCCAAAGTATGAAGATGAGAATGCGTGGGACTATTCACATTTTGAACAAAGCCAATAGTGTCTAAGATAGCATTAAAGGCTGCTCTTAAGCTATCGCCTTCAATGTCAGCATGGATGTTAAAATCTCCCACTATGATGACCCTGTCAGTATTTAATACCAAATCAGAAAGGAACTCTGAAAACTCATCTAAAAATTCAGAGTAAGGACCTGGTGGACGATACAAAGTTACAAAAAGAAGAGGTTTTCTTGCCTTGAAATTTGGATCAGGGAAATTAAGGGTTAAATGTTCAAAAGAGTTGTAGGTATTAATTGTTTTGGGAGTAATCAGTAAGTCAGACTGGAAGATTGTTGCTACTCCTCCTCCTCGCCCAGAACTTCTGGGGATGTGAAAATTTAAATAGCTTGA